GTGATGGGACCGCGTACGAGCATTTTCATTGGACGACATACCACACGTGACAGTGATGGGACCGCGTACGAGCATTTTCATTGGACGACATACCATACGTGACAGTGATGGGACCGCGTACGAGCATTTTCATTGGACGACATACCAGCATTCTTATGAGTTTTTATTGGTTGAGTTCGAAAACCAGCTAAACGCTCTCTTCCCCTGGTTTGCCCTAGGAGAGGATATTGATACTTGAATTTTTTAAATCAATTTTATTGATACAAATATTATAAATTATTCTATTTGAATTCTGTTTAGCTATTTATCCCCCTCCATTGAAAATGCAGGAAAAGTATTGTATATTTGGCGGATGTATTTCTTTGTTCCTTCCCATGAGGCATTGWGGCCTAGCTGCATTTTCAATAGTATTGGGTTAAATAGTHAVCCAATGCTTTCTCGTRGCAYACMATGGAATATCCCACTTGTCACTTGTATTTTCTTAGCAAAAAGAGGCTCGTGAGTAAAATAGAAAACACAAAAAATTTATGCCACTGAAAACTATCGCATGGACAGTATGTGATACAAAACCAAAGGTCCCTAAGTACAAAATCTGCCACRCAGTGTTCTATTCAGAGACATGGAGTAACTCGTACCAGGGTATTAACAACAGTTTGACTGTTGTGTAATCTACTAGTGTAATGAATTCCTCCAAATATCAATATTTCACCTCGTCCAAYGACCACAGAATGTAACGAGGTGGCTACTGGTGCATTACACACTTCGGCAGTCTTTTCCCACTTGCAGTACTTGTTGGTCATTAGTTGACTACAGTCTAAGGTATACGCTTGCATACATGTTGGAGAGATTTGTGAGGGGCCAGGTAACTTTTGCCCCCCAACATTGGGTTCATCCTGGGCGTCTCCACCATCAGGTGAAGTTGCACTGGTTTTAGGGGTGCTAAAAACGATTATTCTGTCCATTATATTTAGAGCTGGGTGGCACCATAACTGTGGGGCCTCTAGTTCTGTATTCTTGACTTTGATCTCTGACCAGGTCATTGTTTTGAGGTGTAGCAGCCATACATCACTAAAGAGCTAGCACACAAAGTATAAGGTTATTTGTCACATATAATTACTTGAGCATAYGATTTGTTYGAGTTGTATCCATATTCATGAGTCTKCTCATGTACAACAGTTGAACAAAGAAATGATACTCAAGKGAATGACACATGGTCTCCAAAATAGGAAACATTATGCGCAAGGTAAAGAGGTCTATTCATTGTATACAAACAATTAAATTAATGAAATAAAAAGTTGTGAACTTTTTATGAAGAACTACAGCAATGTAAATACACAAATATTATAATATAATAATAATAATAATAATAATAATAATAATAATGGGGTGCTTCTATAGCGCATTTCACATGGTTTCAATACGCTTCACATTTAATGACCAGTGGAGGACTTTATGGGTTGCATATTAAAGTGCTATTAGCAGCCGTGCAGCTTACAATCATGAGTGATTTGTTAGTACATTAGTGTTATGCCTCCAAAATGGGATAGGCTGTTGAACYGGGAGACAATCCCTTATCAAATAAATATCTAGATTTGAATGACAATTCTAACTTTTCCTTACCATATTTGGGCCACCACATCCCCCCAGAATAAGCACAGTGTAGGGATTTATCTTCATCTGCAAAAACAATAAAGATAAATAGAATTAATAATCATGTGAAATGCAAGGATGATGATGATGAAAATGATGATGATAATGATATGAGGATGATAATTGTAGYGTGTCAATGTTTGCCAGATTGCTATTGGTTTTGATTACCTGTGAGTGTCCAAACCTGCCAGCTGGTCTTTTGCCTGTAATGTCAGGCATTGTCCAGCACATTAGACTGAGATCAAACATCCACACATCATTGAATCTGCAAAACATCAACATATATGTCAATGAGCAATATGGGGACATGGGTATTTTTTGGGTGGACATAACATTCCAGATAGGCCTTTTCTGAATTCATTAAACATGGTGCATTGTGGTCTAGCTTGGGTACAAACAACACTCTATAAAACATGGTGAACAAAACAGGGGCATACTTAGTGATGGGGGATGCCCCCCCCCCCCCTTTTTGGAAGCAATATATTAACAAATTGTATTTGTAAATGGCCTTGAAGGTTTTCTCTCATGACGAAGTTTTCCAGTCCACCATTTCTTTGATTCCTGGATACGCCTCTGCAAAAGGTGTTTGTACCCAAGCTAGACCAGGATGCAACATGGTCACTATCTCAGAATAGGTCTTAAGAACTTTGTGTCTTTTTGTTTGCATCTCCCAAGCATTATAACATTCAGTACATTTACTRTACATTGATCTTACATCTTACTGACTAACCGTGTTTGTCTCTGTGCTCCTCCAAACATCACCATCTGATCCTGTACAACACAGGCAGCATGTCCTGCACGTTCACAAGGTTGTTGGCCGTCCTTGCTCGTCAATGGTGTACTCCATACTAATGCATCTAAGTTTAATACGTGAATGCCATTATAAAATTTAGCGTTAGAAACAATTCCCATTCGTGATGGCTGGCACCATCCACCAAATATAATAATTCTGTTGTTGTGTACAACCATCGTAGCACATTCCTTCGGAGGAGGAGGGATACCAGACAGTCTTAATTTTGTCCATTTAAGGTCCTTTAAATCTAGTTCATACACGTCGTTAAATGCTGTATTGGACGTAGAACAACCACCAAAGATATACATCGATTTTCCAACTACACAGCTGCTGTGAGAGAAGCGCTGGGATGGAGTTATCCTAGATTTTTGTTTAACATCACGAAAACAAAGTTTCCCACGACAAACAGAATCGTAGAAATATCGCTCTCTTTGTTGACATATTCTGTGAACTAGACCATACCATGTCTTACAGACATGCTTGGCTTGTTGAAGCTCTCCATAGGGAGACAAGTAAGATAATATTTCCTCAGTAACTTCAATAGGAATAGTAGAAAAATAACAACATTTGCTTGTGTCATCCTTCCTTGCCTCTTGATCCGCCATCTTGGACGAGAGAAGTGAGGGGTCTGGTGATAGCCTCAAATGAATAAGACAAAATGAAAAGGAAAAAGAGAAAGAAAGAAAGAATGATAAAATAAAAAAGGAAAAGGCTAATGATAAACTTCGTGATCGGTTTATCATTACTGCTATGTATTATTAGCCATGTACATGTACATGTATATGTACCGYTAGTATTGTTTAATAGGAAATTCGTTTTACCCGAGAAATCGTCCAAAAAATTAAAACTATTGGGCATTTAACGTGTCACAAAGAGAGTTGTTCGTATCTATGCCAAGAAAAGACAAACACGTCAAGTTTAGGGAGAATTGCTTGGAGTTGCTCTATCTTTTGAGTCATTGAAATCTTGTATAGTCGAATTTCCGTGATTGGGATCCCTGTGGTTTCATAAGAGTTGATCATTTATTGGAGAGAAATCATCAGTCAGTGTTAGTAATGGAGGAAGGAGTGGAGGAAGGAGTGGAGAATACGTCTCTGTTAGAGACTAGAACAACTCGACCTAGACGAGGCAAATGGACCTTCTGGTTGGTATGTGCTACTACAGTGTGTGTAGGAGGTTCTTCTTTACAGTTTGGTTACAACACATCGTGTATTAATGCCCCACAAAAGGTAATATTGGCTTGATTTATGCTGTCTTTTTCTTCTCTTCGAATCTGAATAAATAGTCTTCTATATGGCAGCTGTATCGAAAGTCTTAACCCATAGCAGTATTGCAGTATTTATTCAGTATGAAATCCTAATTCTACAATAAATGAACAAGGTCAAGAAGGCCTCTACGCATATTTTTGGTGGGGTCAAATTTGATTTTAAAAATATTAAAAACTAATATAAGATTTTATAACTTATTTTACTTATATATAATGCACTCATAAGTCATCAATGTTCTACTTTAATTTGTATTTTTGAACCTTTATTTTCGATGTTACGTAACTTTGTTGGTAATAAAATGCGTTATATAAATGCACTCYTAATCATGTAATTTAATACATTTTTATAACACTTTTATTTATTTGTTATTCATTAAACATACAATCATTTATTAATCTAAAATATTTCTCTGTATATATTGTTTAAATCTGTTGTGAATYATTAGATATTTTAGTGTACTATCCCTCTAGCTGTTTTAGGAGGCAAAAATCTATTAGTTTTCGTTTAAAACCCACATAACTATTTGTGCTGCAAACAGCATGGTTAAAAGTAAATAAAATATTTATAAAGTATGAATATCACTATTAAATGAAGTGGTGTCWGAAAGAAAGAAAGGATTCCAGAGATACAGTTGCATTCCCTGAATCTAAGAAAAATTGAATTTGAAATATATGATTCTTTTTATTTCAGAAAATAACAGACTTCTTCACGAACAATAATCATGATTTTACTGACTTTGAATGGGCAGTTGTTGTTGCTATTTTTGCTGTTGGAGGTATGTTGGGTGCCCTCRTAGGACCATATATGGCAAACCACTTTGGAAGGTACATATAATATATTGGWAAAGTCACAGTTGTAACATGTATGGTGTATTGAGATATGTTAAGTTTAAGGTTTCTTCATATTTAGGTTTAATTAAATGTTCAGTTGTTGTTTCATCTACATATATTATATGTTAAGTCGTTGGAGCCAAAGGAGGTGGGAAGATAGATGATAAGGTTATTTGAAATATATCTCAACATTAATTCATGTTTTTGTAACCTTCAGTTCCAGAGGTTTTTTTTGAACCAATAAGGGTGCAATTAGTTTGTTGACTTTTTTCTTGTAGAAAGAAGTCTTTACTTGGAAACAATGTTTTTGCCTTGCTTGGTGCTGTGATGATGTTCTTATCCCATTCGGCAAATACACCAGGTTTATTGGTCGCTGGCCGATTCATTATTGGTTTTAACAGTGGTATGTGTATGCTGTTCAAACATTTTAAGAATGGTTGTATATAGATTTTGTTTATTTGTAGCCTGAATTTTGAAAAAATGTTGGAGACAAGGGTGGCATAGTGAAATACTTCTCTCTCATGTCTGGGGACTCAGGTTTGATTCCTATACTCTGCATCAGCTTTCAATCCAAGAGTTGGAGCTGTGCCCTGRCTTTGATCAGAYGATCAATATTTCAGGGTATTGAACACTGACTTGATTCTTATATTACTGAGATATGTAAAATAGTTAATGATGGATTTTTAAAAAAATTTGCCGACAATTTTTCCSCCAGGTATCAACACTGCTGTTGCACCCATGTATTTGTCTGAAATAGCTCCAATCCCACTGAGAGGTTCTTTGGGGACTCTTAATCAATTTGGGATTGTCTTTGGTATATTGGTGGGCTTTGTGTTTGGTTTGGACAAGGTAAGATTCTTCATACTGGATTATGATGTGGGTCTGTTTTGTAAAGGAAATAGTTTGGTTACATCTTTCTTATTCAGTTTTCTCATATATCAAAGCCATCCATCTATTCTACCTGATTATTTATCCTTCCATCCAATCAATCATTTATCCATTCATTCATCCAATCCCAACCAACAATCCATTCATTCATTTATCCATGTACCATCCATCCATTCCATTTATCCATTTTTTCAACCATCCCTCTCTTCCCTTGCAATCCCAACATCCATTTAATCCCCATCCATTTATTCATTCTACTATCCATCCTTATCTCCATCTTTCTGCCCATCCATTCAGTAAGAAATTCTTCAACAATAAAATTTTTAATGCTTTTTGCAGGTGTTAGGTACAGAATCAGGTTGGCCATACATAGTGGGTTTCAGTGTTGTTCCAGCTTTACTACAAGTCATCACCCTTCCGTGGTGTCCACGCAGTCCACGATACCTGCTGCTCAAGCTCAATGAAGAGGCTGCTGCTGTATATGGTAAGACCATCAATTTTCCAAACTCTGAAACAACCTCTGGGCTGATCTAAGT